AAGTTAAAGTTTAAAATATTAACTTTATCATAGAAATAATTGAACGGTTGGGGTTATAATAATATTATTTATGTAAACAGAATTTTATAGTCGGTATCGAATTGAATGACAATGAGATTTTTCTTGTATTTGTATACACAAGAAAAAAAAAGTATGTTACAGATTTCCAATAGCAAAAATGTACGACTTCTAGAATGCAAATTGTGTTGGCAATTTTCCTTTAAAATTGGTTTCACAAGTTTGTAAATTTATTTATTACTTTCAAGAAGTTTTTCAACATCTTTTTAATGATTACTAAATCAAATATTGAATTAATCAAAAGTCAGAATTAAATATTTTACGATAAGAAACACAAATTCTTTATTATACACAATTATTTGAAAAAACTTTTAAAAATAAGATCAAATGACTAAAAATAAATTGCAAAAAACAAAGAAAATAAACTCATTAAGATCAAAGAAATATATCGAATATTTTTTTTTTGAATTTTTATGAATAATTTTCTTTTGTTATTTTAGTCGAAAAGCACGTAAACTCTGAATCTGGATGCATAATAATCACGGCAGTAAAATCAAAATGTGATAATAAAAATATATAAAACGTACGGAAGGGTTAAAAACCGAGAAATTGTTATTGAAAACTGAAAGAAGAAAAAAACGCGGTTTTTATTTAAAAGAACTTTTCTAATCTGCAATTGCAAAAGTAATTTTGTGTCTACAGTAAGATAAATTAAAAGGAATCCCCAATGACCGAGACAATTTCTTGTGGCGTTAATGATGATAGCACAATTGAAATAGAAAACAGTATAACAGCACAAGTTCTCAAAAGACAATATCCATTGTATAAAAATCCCCGAGTCACTTACATTCCAAAACGCTCTTTCATTTTATTTTAGCGATCAAAGTTAGTTTAAATTTCTTTTTTCTTGCGTTTTTTTATTTCTTGTATTGTAGCCATCAAATAATTCATTTTAAAATTGGCCTTGACTCGATTTATTCTTTATTTCCGTTTAGTAGGGATTTTGTTTTTAGTAGAAGTAGCCTACAACAAACGTAAGTTTCTCAAACAAAAATCTTTAGAAGTAAAGGGGATTGTGAGATTCCAAAAGAAATTAGTCTTCAACTGTATTATCCTATTTTTCATCTCGAGAATGGCGAAGAGGCTTTCTCTTATCCCTATTGTGTGGAGTTTTTCTTTTGAAACTAGAAGACACAAAAGCCAACTTGTGCTAGACTCTACGCCTACTCTACTGTACAGACAGATAGTATAGAATCGATGAGTCGTTTAATCCGGAATAGCAATATCATTTTCTTTACTAAATTCTTCGTTTGATCTTTCTTTGTCTGTTGAACCTTGATAAATGTTCTTACAATTTCTCAACTCGCAGTTTTCTCTTATGAAATGTCGTTTTATTGATTTGTATTGTTGTCTACTTGTACAAACTCGTGTCAATATTCCCTGTCTTCCACTTTCCCTTTTTTCCCCTTCCTCTTCTTCTTCTCTCCACCTTCTATTCGATAGTATTGTAATTACAGAAATGCGGGCAAAAGAATTGGAAAATTCGTCGATCTTCAAAAACCGAAAACCGATTTCTCCGCCTCTTGTAATTAAAGAAATATGCGGAGAGAGACGGTTGTCAATAGTTTGGAATCTTAGCCGTTCGAAGATTTTAGTAAAATGATGGAAGCGGCAGAAAAATTCAATTAAATATTTAAAAAATGAAGAAGAAAATCTGCTAAACAACCCACGCGAAAAATGATATTTAAATAAATACAAACAATAATAAAATAATAAAATAAAAAAAGTAAATTCATAAACGATCTCTCTTATAAATCTTTCTCGTTAAATCAACCGTTATTAAATTTAATAAAATATCTTTGTTTTAAAAATTAAATTTTACGGTTATAAGTTTAATAATAATAATAATAATAATATAAAAAAACAATCCCATTTAATAAAATTCATTTTCATATTAAGTTTTTTCCCCCTTCTCTTATTTTATTGCTGCTTCTAGTACTTTTGAAATTCTTAAAATTGTTATTTCAAGAATGCAATCAACTACTGACAATATTCATCAAGAAATTTTTATCAAATCGACAAACTAAAATAATATAATTGATTTTGAATACACAGTTTAATAGTTTGTCGAGTGTTTCTGACGTTTTGTAATTTTAACTGAAAATAGTCGTTAGTTTGAAAAATTATTCATGAAATAAAAATTTTTTCTCTTATCAATTCTTTAAATATCATATATTATTATTATTGTTATTATCATCATCATCGTCATCATCGTCATAACTACTTAAAAACTATTTATTTAATGGCATATTTTAATAAAATTAATTGAGTTTTTGATTTATTAAAAAATAAAACTTTATTAATTTATATAATTTACTTTTAAATTATTAAAAGTTTTATTAAAAAGAATATATAAATGATAGATTATACGCTTCATTGCCGACTAATCAATATGAAGTTTTTAAATGGAATTTTATATTAAAAATTTGTATTGTAAGTTTAAAAATTAAAAATTTTCAACTTATATTTATATTTTGATTAAAAATATTTTATTTTTAATCAAAATATAAAATTTTATTTGTGTTTATTTATTTTATTTTATAGATAATTAGATATGACATTTTTTAATTGTATTGAAAGACATAACTGATAATATCTTAATTGTAAAAAAATAATTTAACTGCTTATTTTCAAAACATAATTACAAAAGACAACATTTAAAATGTATTTTAGTAGACTTAATTATAATAGACAATTTTTAATTATTATTATTAATTTCATTATATTTTTAAAAATTTTATTGAAATCTTTTTAATATAAGGAGAAAATTTATTAATAGAAATATTTATATATATGTAAATTGATAAATAATAAAAGCTGTATTTATGAATTTTACACGATTAAATTTTTCTATATTTTATTTAAAGATATATTTTAAAATATAAATTTTGAAACTGTTAAATTATAAATTTCATTCTATTCCATCACATTATCAAATTATAACATTTATATCTTAAAAATTAAAATGTATTTTAAAGTTTAAAAATACCTTAAAACTGATGCATAATGAATTAAAAATAAAGATTAAAACTTTGTAAACTTTAAAATGTTTTAAATCACTTTTAATTATTTATAAGACATTAATGAAAGAAAAGAAATAAATTTACTAAAAAGTTTTAAAAAAAGAAATGTAAAACTCGAAAACTTTTTAAAGATGTAAATAAACATTAAATGTTTATTATTATAATTATTTAAGTTTATATAAAAGTTAAATTTTTTCTATGGAAAAATTAAGGAAATGTGTATTTATCTAAAGAAGTAAATTTAATTTTCAAACGAAACAAGAAAGAAAATCTGGATAAGTTCGCATAGTTAAATCGAATCGTCACATCTCGAGATATTTATTTAAAGGAAAAGGAGAGAGAGAGAGAAAGAAAGTACAGAAGAAGAAGAAGAAAGAAAAAAAAAAAAGATTTTTATTTTCCCTCCAGGTGTGGCTTCGTTAAGTAGGATAACTCATCAACATAAAGCGTAGAATAGATGATGATGTTCACTTTGAAGTCAAAGCACGATTCTCGAGAGCTACAGTAGATCCACAGCAACACAGCACTCTAATTGTGGCAGCACTAGGCAAATTAGTTAGTGTGCACCGACGTTGTCAGGAATTTGAATTATTTATAGGCAATGTCTCGAATTCCCACTCAACAAGGTAGCTTCTCTAGTTCGCAAAAGCACAATCTATAGTTCGCCAGAGACATAAAGCAAAACAATCTTTTATTCATGAATTCTATCTCTCATTTTATCTTCTTCTATTTTACCAGTTGTATCTGTATCCGCGTGAAAAGCATTTCTCATGGGAGCTGTTATTCTTAAGAATTTAATAAAAAAAAATTTTTTTAAGGAAAAAAAGTATTTCTTCGCTTTAAATTGATGACTGATAAATAAAATAAGTTCAATGAAAATCTTATTTTTATAAATATGTATTTTATAACTATTTATAAATAAAATTACTTTATTTAAATTTCTTTTCTTTCTTAATATTATTTTAAATCCCAAGAAACATTTATATAAAAGTACTGTAATTCATTGCTTATTTTTTTCCTTTATGTTTATAATTGTTTTAGTTTATATAGAATTTTTATTATTATGATTAAACTCTGATCCTATATAAATGTTTAATGACTTTTTTGTGCAAATTTAACTGTTTTCATTGGAAAATTACTTTTGTATTTCTTTAATAGATTTTACTAAATAAAAAAAAATACATATATATATATCTATACCTTTTACTTGATTTTTATTGACATTCTAACTATAAAGTAGTTTGAAATTTGTCCAAAAATCTGTTTATTTGCATATTAAAAGACATAACCAATTTTTTTTTATTATAGCGTCGAGTAATAATGCTGAATTAATTTGAATACGAAATCAGACTAAAGTAGTAGAAAGTATTAAAAAATAAGAAACAAATAGAAAAAAATATCAAGATGTGAATATCTGCAACAGTATAATGTCTTGTTTCTTTTATGAATTTTCTTATGGATTTCGTAAAGAACAATTATCTATAAGTTAAAAACATGCATTTATGATTGCAGTCGATGTATATCCATATATTCAAGTTTATTCCACCTGAATGAAAAATTTGCATCAATTATTCAAAAGGAAAAGACAATTTCATTCATGGAAGAGATGCTATAACAGTGAAGACAATTACCATAAATTTACAACTAGAACGTAAACCGATAAAGCTTAGAAGAGAAATATTATTGTTGCAGTTACATTCATGCAATATTAGATTAATTAATGCTAATTTATAGAAGGAATTAATGAAATTCTATATATAAATTATGTAATTATCACTAATGAAATTCTTGTTTATTAAGTTTTAATAAAGATGAATTATTAATATAGAAAACTTTCTATGACCTTTTATATACTTCCGATTTTTATAAGATATCATTGGAGAAAAAAGTTCAACATACTTGCTTTGACGTGTACGTCTCTGCTCCCAATGCTTCCTACTCTATTAGTGGCGATACACCTGTAGATGGTATCGTGGATATCTCGACGATAATTACTAGAAGAAAAAGGTGGAAAAATCATAGAACCATCTGGTCTGATGAGGCGCAAGCCTGGTATATCTTGTACTCTACTATTTAGATCACTTCGCTCCCAATGGATAGTTGGCTTAGGGGTTCCTTGAGCAGAACACCTTACTGCAGTACCGGTATTATTATCAAAATGAACTTTAAACGGTGGCTCATAGTCCAAACTTGGCCCCGTCAAGTTCGCTACAGAAAGAAGTATTTTTAAATATTTAAACTTTTCAAAATTAATTTAAAAAATTAATCGTTTAAAATAAAAGTATTAATCGTAAAAGCTCGTAAAATCAGAATTTATTCTTCGTTTAAATTTTATATTATAAATTTTTATGGTAATAAAATAAGTTTTAGTTAAAAGAAAAAAAATCACTTGTTACACGTGTTAATACTCGTTAAAAGTTTTAAAACTTATAGCTGATAATATGAGATATAAAACTAACCTGTTGCCTTAGCGGTACTTATGACCAACCAAACCAGAAAAACGGACATTGTGCACAGTGTAAGAGTGGAGCAGGCGATACCCGCTCTTCTCGCAGACTGTCAAATCGAAATCAATGACAGTCCTTCCAAACAGACACGAAGCGAGGAAGGACGGGACGCATGCTCAGTTCAAACATTTTCCAGCTCCTTATTTGAAGGAAGAGAGGATCACATGTGGCAAGATAGAAATAGACCTCGAAAGAAAATGCACATAAACTACTTTATCCAGACCTACTCCAATGGGGTTATGATGTAAGGATGAAAAAGATCAGTCGACTGATGGATTTTTTTTTGATCTTTCAATAGATATGTGTTGCAGAAGATTCTCAAAAAAAATTTTTTTTTATCTACGAGTAGTTTTCGAAAGTCCTTGGAGATATCATTGAAGACTATTCTTTGGTTGATTATGTGACTGCATCACTTATTTCTTCGTCGAATGGAGATCTGTTATCTAGTTTATCACGTCAGAAAATACATCTGAATGAATAGGATTTCGTATTTCGCAACTTTATTGATAAACACAATCCTTTTAAAAGAGTAGCCGTTTCTAGCGCCGAGATTTCACTAAGAAGAAATATTGAGGTGAATGTTATAAACTCGAAATTTTTTCTCTGCCGTTTCTTTCTATGCATTCATCATTATAAAGTAGAAGTATCATTCTCATATAACAAATCATTTTCTATAAATAATAGTAAAGAAATAATTTATTATTTTTAGAAGTTTCGAAAATAATGCCCGCATATCAGCATCGTATTGTATGACAGAGCGAAACAAATAATTAAATAAATCTCTTCAATTTCTTATCTTAAATGCTTTCAAAATATTATTCATTTTATTTAAATATATTCTGAATTAATTATTATTATTTAGTATTAATCTAGAAGAATTAAGAACAATTGCATCTAGCACAAACTATCGCTGTTTAAATTATTAAATATGTGAAATTATTTCATAACTCTGAAAATATATAAAATATTTGGATAGATTAAACGAAATCTAATCTCGTTGATCGTATTACAGTTATAAAAAAATAGGTAATGAGGATTAATCAAGTTTTGTCATATGTTCCTAGAAGCTAAGTCTTTGCTTTCTTTCGTTGCTTGAGACATCAGCGCCTAAATCCCAGGACCAACAAATCCGTTGGGATTGCATCGTCTATATAGACAAGCCTGATCACTTTCTCGATACCAAGTTGAATTCTCTCAAATTGTCTGGCTTGACTTTGTAACGACGTCAAAGACAAAAAAAAAAAAACTTATTTTGCCAATCTTTTTAAACTTTAAACGTTTCTTGATATCTTTAAAACTTTAAAGATTAAGCAAACTCATTTAATATTTATAAAGAAGATAATTTGATATTATAATCAATAGTTTTGGCTTAATACCGTTTTATGAATATTTAAGACCAGAGGGCGGAAAATATGGTTCTCATCTCTTTACTGTGAATAAATTTCGTAAAAACCTGAACGTTATGTAAAAGTTCATAGATTTTCGAACTCGTTTATGATCAGAAGATTCTAGATATATGTTTGGTAATCAGGTAACAGACAAAGATATTGAAATTTTTAAAAGGGATTTTTATCTCGGCTGTATTAATGCTACAATAATAGTTCTTACTGAAACTATCGAATAATATTTGTTGGTTTTTCTTTCTCTTAAGATGTTTCTTAACTGTATTACTTTCGATATACTACTGTTAGAACAGTGCTAGTTTGCGAAAACAATATAACAGAACAAATGTTTATCTTCGTTGATGAGGAACTGTTTCTTCCGATCCAAACTATTGATTGTTTAATTTGCAAATTGATAAAATGACAATTGTTCCTGTAGTTAAACAGAAATAATTTCTCATTCACGTCAACCATATAAATATTATAGAATTACAGAAATGACTAATAATACTGAAATAAAAAGAAAAATGAAATTGGAAGAAACACGAGTTTATATCTTTATTTTTGTAAAATAAAAATTTTTAAATTTAAATATTGTATGAAAAGTAAATAGTGATAAATCATCCAAATATTATATTTCATGCTAAAATGGAGAATTTCGTGGATATTAAAAAAAATCTCTTTGCTCTAGATCAATCATGGAGACTCCTTGATTTGAAATGTTCTATTTCCCAAGATTCCATTTTGAAAAGAAAACATAAAACAACTTTTAAGAAAGAATAAGACGAACGATCAAAATTCAGATCTGTTGCTATCTTATTCTAGCGACATTTAAGTTCGGTCAGCGATTCTTCCAGTATCTTTTGTATCGTTTTGGTTCAGTGATTGTCTGCCTAGATACCCACCGACAGTCGACTATTCCCTTGAAGTTTCTAAAGCAACTGGGTTTTCTTCTCATCTCATTGCTTACATGTTATAATCCATTTTTTACAGATGACAAATAAAATTCGGTAGAGTTATCGACTGCAGAAACCTTTAATGATCTTCAAGCAAATATAAGTGATAAGGAAATGATGCTTAAGCACTTAGACACCTCAAAAAATTCTGATTTATAAGTCAACGTTTCAATTGATTTTTCAACACGTATAAAAGTTTACAATGATAATAAGCCACGAATGATGTTCAGTTTGTTTTTTTTTGTATTCTCCTCATTTCGTAATTAAATTTTACGATAAAATTTAAAATACTTATTAATATTTAGCACATGTTTTCTGACGCTTATAAGGATTTTATGACGCAACTTAATTGGATTTTTATACTTAATTTTATTAATTTAACTTTAGTAATTTTACAGTAAGGTTAAACTAAATAATTTAGGATTAACAGAATAAAAGTAATGCTACAAATTGCCTATTCTGAATATCAATTTAATGTTAAAAATTTTTAATACACAGGAAATAAATTTAACTTTATATAAAATATTTGAAAAAATTAATATTTAGATGAAAAATTTTTAAAAATAATTATAATAAATTAGTATAAAATATAATTTTTGTAGCTTAAATAATTCAAAGTTATTATTTAATTTATAAAGTAGATTATAAATAAATCTACTTTATAAATGAAATAATAACTTTTAATGATTGTACTCAATGCTAAGTACATTTTAGACACTTAAATAAATAAAACTAAAAGATCTATATTAAGTTAAAATAACATATAAATGTCAGCAACTGTATTTTATATCACGAACTAATAATAAATATTTTCAAGAAGCTATAAAAATAAATTTAGAAACAATGAGATCGTTATTGATATGTAAAATAGAGAATATAAGGAAAAAAATATTAATTAAAAATAAACAATTCAATTCTTTTAATCAGCCGTCACGTTTATTGAAAAAAAAAACTATTGGCAGTATATAATTAGTTTTATTTGATTTATTTTTGCATCGCTCTTGGTTTATTTATTTGTTATGATAATTTAAAATATTTTAAAATTCAACTGAGTTCTAAGAAAAAATAAATTACAAAAAGAGAAAGAAGAAAAAAAATACTTCGATTCGCTCTCAGCAGTGATACTATCTCAACTAAAATAGCTTTCTCTCTTAATTATCTTTATTTTTCACGTTACCGTTTTTTACAATGCTGCTTTATAGGAATAGCATTATTGTTGCATTACATTTTTATATATTTTTTTAAATATTATTTTCATGTTATTTTTTTAAAATATATATAATTTAAAAATTCAAATTTTATATTTTTACAGTACCTATTACTTTATTTATTATGTAAGTTACATATTTTGTAAAATTTAAATAACTATGTTTTAAATTAACACATACGTATATTAAATGTAAAAATTAAATTTTAATTAAATTTAAATATAAAAAAATAATATTAATTTTTTTAAAAGTATTTTGAAAATGACAAATTATAATAAATTATGCTAATTTAGTTAAATCATTCGAAAATAATAAAAACTTAATCAATTTAACATGAATATTTTCCAATTTACTTAAACTGTATTTCTATTATTTATGAATAATGGTATTTAATGGGAATACAATTTAAGTAAATTGTTTTCTTTTTATGAGAAATAAGAACTTTGAAACATAAAACTTACTTTAGCTCTTAATAAAAACAGAAAGAAGTATATAAGTTTTTAGTTTATATATTTTTTTCCTCTTTTAAATGTTTTTGTCATCATTAATCAGAAAAGTTTCAATTTTGTTTTCAAAGATTTCATGTCCTTTGCAACGAAAGTTTTCGGAAATCCTTATTAGAAGATTACTTAGAGCAACACGAGATGCTGAGGATAAAACAAACAAGTCAACATCCTTGGTGTACGTTTTACGACTGCTTCTTTTTGTTTCAATTAGATTTAATCTGTATACTTTAATTTATTTTACATATATTTTATTTAATTATAGCGTTTATATTTTTAAAAATTAATTTACATGTTACACTTTACATTTAATTACCATTAATTTTGAGATATTTGTGTTTCAACATAATTAATTTTTTTTTGTGTGTGTTAAATAATTCTTTGTAACTTAAACGCATTTATTTTGAATTTATTATGTATTTATGCACTATTCAAACTAGTTTCGAAATGACTTTACAAGTTTCTTTATAAATAAAAAAATTTAATTATGTTGAATTCAAGCTAATTAAAATATAAAATATTTAATAGTAAAAAATTCATCCTAAAATTTTAAATAATTTTAAATCTTGAAGTAACAGAAATACAGAAACCAAAAATTCATTAGAATAGTAGCAAACAATTACGTATATATTGTAAATCACTATAATTTAATAAAGAAGTCTAATTCTCATAAAGTATTAATCCTCAGAAAATCAGGATTCATTAGCACTTTACTGAACTAATTTGTTTTACTAATTCCCTTTCACATATTTTAATAATGGTGTTGAAGTTCTTGCAATATTAACTAGATATTTATTGATAGTCGTTAAAATTCAACGCATAAATATATAATTAAGCTAAAGAAAATCGATATATGCATTCTAATAAGCGTTAATTTATAAACAATGTCAGTTATAATTAAAAATAAACACGCGAAAATCGAGAAATGATAATTTTACACACCCAGAACTCATATATTCCAAGTTATTATTTTTTTAATTAATTTTAATTGTG